ACCAGGACCTGCCTGCGTCCCCTCCCCCCAGCCAGCTCCACCCCCCCACACACACACCAATTGGGGGTGGGGCCCACCAGCCAATCGCCTGCAGCCCCTCCCCCCAGCCGGCGCTGATGGGGTGGGATGGCCGGCCAACCTCCCGCCGCCACCTCCTCCTCCCCCTGAAAGTCCCAGCCCCGATTTACCGATTGGGGCCGGGCCAGCTGGACCCCACCTGTGCATGAATTCATGCACTGGACCACTAGTTTCCATATAAACAGGCTGTTGGTTATCTTTTACAGCAGTGGGTCCTCTTCAGTGATTTTTGCTGATTTCTCATCTCTGACCTCTGAATACTGAAGTGTCCCAGAACTCAGACCCCCCCTTTTCTATCCTTGCTCCCTTAGTGATTTCAATAAGCCCTATTTTAAAAAAATACCATCCATTTTTTTTCTTGGCTCCCAAATATGTATCTCAGCCCAGACCTCTCCTCTGAACCTGAGACTTAAACCTATTAGCCTACTTGACATCTCTAATTGGATGTCTAACAGACATCTCAAACTGTGCAACATCAAACAACTCATTTCCAAAAATGTGTCTACCAGTCTCCTCTAACCTAGTAAATGGCCACTTCATCCTTTTTCCCCCCCCTCAATATATTTTTATTTATTTCCGAGAGGTAGGGAGAAGGAGGGAGAATCATTGATCGGCTGCCTCCTGCATGCCCCACACTGGGGATCGAGCCTGCAACAACCTGGGCGTGTGCCCTGACTGGGAATTGAACGGTGACCTCCTGGTTCATAGGTCGACACTTAACCACTCAGCCATGCCGGCTGGGCTACTTCATTCTTTTAATTACTCAAGCCAAAACTTTGGAATCATTTTTTACTCTTTTCTCACATGCAATCCTGTTGACTTTACCTTAAAAATATACCCACTTTGCCCAGCCAGTATGGCTCAGTGGTTGAATGTCAATCCATGAACCAGGAGGTCACAGTTCAGGGCACATGCCTGGGTTGTGGGCTCAATCCCCCCAGTAAGGGGTGTGCAGGAGGCATCCCAATCAATGATTCTCTCATCATTGATATTTCTGTCTCTCCCTCTCCCTTTCTCTCTCTGAAATCAATAAAAACATATTAAAATATTTTTAAAAATATATATCCACTTATTACCATCTCCACTTTTTTTTTTGTTTATTGGCTAGTGTCTCAGGAATTTGACCATAACACTAATTTTCTCATGTATGCCCCAGAAAAATAATGCAACTTTTTCCTTAAAAAGAAAAAAATTAAAATACCCAGTATTGTAAATAAAGTTATTTTCTCTTATTCTGGATCTCCTGACTTTCTGCTTTCAAATGCAGTAACAGTCCTAATATTGCTTTAGGCTAGGGGGTGAGGGTCTGCTTCCATATTTTGTACTAAATTAGGTCTAAAATTGGGGATGGGGATGGGGATATATTCCTTCATGGGCCAAGACTTAAGCCCTCAGGGCTGGGTACCCATTTCTCCTCTACATGAGCCATTAAGATAATGTTAACAAGGAACACATTTATAATGTGATACTAAGAAAAAGTTGGGTACAAGATTGCATTACAGCATGAGCTCAATTGTATTAAAAATGTCTAGCAAGCACAAGTCTAGGTGCTTGTTTTGGAGAATGGGATTTCAGGTGATTATTTAAAAAAAAATACTTTTCTATACTTGCCAAATTTTCCATAATGAGCTAACACTGTCACTAAGGAGTCTACTCTCCTCTTTTAGTTTTGGTAATCATCACCAGAGGATATTTATTTTTCCCATTGTTTTTCAGAGAGAGTGGGAGGGAAGGAAGAAGGAGAGAGACAAAGACTGGTTGTCTCTGGACTGGTTGCCTCCCACATGTGCCCAACAGGGAATAGAACCTGCGACCATTCCGTGCGTGGGGCTGTCCCTCTAACCATTGATCCCACCGGCCAGGGCTCCCCTCCTCCTTTGTTCCCAGTAGCTGGTGGCCCGCGAACCTCACCTTTCCTGGCCTCCTGAATGTATTTCTCTAAGTAGTACTTTCGGAGTTCATCGTTTTCCAGAGCTGGGTCATCAATGCCATTGGCCGTGATGTAAACATCCAGGTCTCCGTAGTTCCTCCGGATCCAGCTCAGCACCTTCCGCTGTCCCCAGGGCAGCACGGCCAGGCGGGTGGGGGAGCTCAGGCAGGTGATGTCTTGCAGAAACTGGACGTCCCTGTCCGTGTCGTAGTGGCTGCCGTTCTGGCGCGCGTGCATCACGAACCTGGTGGTGAAGTGGTTCAGGGCATAAAAGTCGGCAGCGCCCTTGACTAACCGCCTCTCTTCCTCGGTGAACCGAGGCAGCGTGGAGCGCGAGAGCCCTTGCCTGTTCTTGAAGGCGATGTACTCCCTCATGGCCAACGGGTAGTCCCCGGTCTTGAAGAGGGGTTCGGCGAACCAGGCGATTTCGAACTGGAGGAAGCGCTCTGCCGCCTGCCAGTGCGACTCTGCATAGGGGTTGGCGGGTTCCGCCCAATCCGAATGCAGAGACAGAGAGACCGACCCGCGCTGGGCCGGCCGGTACTGCCGGTCGTAGAGGTGCCAGGCCAGGGCGTGGGCGATCAGCAGGTTGTGGGCTGCCCGGTAGGTGTCGTTACCAGTGCGGTTGTAGATGTCACTCAGTCGGTTGGGCTCGTTGATGGTGATCCAGAGCTTCACCAGGTCCCCCAGCTCCTGGAAGCACAGCCCGGCGTAATCCTGGAAGGCCTTGGCCGTGGATGGGTTCAGCCACCCCCCGCTCTGCAGCAGCGGCGTGGGGAGGCCGAGCTGGGTGTGGGTCGGGTAGTACAAGGTGACCATTGGGGAGATGTTGAGCTTCAGGCCCTCACTGACCACACACCTGTAGTACCGCAGAGCTTGTCGGTTAACTGTGGACAGGTTGCCAGTAGGAAGGACTGAGGGCCAGTCCAGAGCAAACCGGTAGTAGGTGACTTTCATTCTTGCCAACATCTCAACCTGTCTTTTGATGCTGACGAAATCTGTGCATTGACCTGGCCGTGTTTTCAGCTTCACTCCTCCCACTTGGTGCAACAGTCTGTTGCCTGTCACATTCCACACATACAGGTGAGGGTCGGTGAACTGTGGGGAGGAAGCCACCAGCTCTGGCTGTGAAAAACAAGCGCATTCAGGTCAAGCACACCCAGGTGGACAGGCTGTCAGCATGCATCATCTGAGAGGGAGAAGGGCCTGCTCTTATCTTGCCTCTCACTGACAATAGAGAAGATAGAGGATGAGTATGTCCTTAACCTAGTATAATGACCTGTGTGTCCCAGCTGTTCTGGTGATGTCATGGAAAAGGCCTGATGGATGATCTTCTTTTCTAGCCCTTGGAATTTCCTAGGGAGACCAGAAGACTTAAGGAAGGAACCACACCCAGGAGGGCTTAGCTTGGAAAATAAGCTGTTGTACAGAAAACCCTGAGAGGCTGTTTTCCAGTTAATTTGTCCTAGAAACCCAGGTCAGATGATGGGGTCTCATGTGATTTTATTCAAATGCATCAGGATATTGGCTTGGTACTCTCAGTTGACAAGAATCATGAAAGATGGACCCTTTAAACACTGCCATAAATTGAAGCAAAGTTAAAATTCCAGTGTAGAGGATTTCACTGAGGGCAGCACTTTGGGTTAGAGGAGGCTAGTTGATCCCAGCCAAAGTTCCTAAAAGAAGCCTGTGTGGTAGGGTAGAGAATGAACCCTTGCATTTGCTGAATGCAAATCTCTAACACCCTCTTCTGTTTGAAAAGTCAAATGATATCATCACATGTGCATCATTATATTCTCCCCACCCAGGTGGCTGTGAGAACATAGCATTTACTCATCCACCAGGAGAATACTGAACACCCTCTTTATGCAAGGTACTTGGATACGAGCAGAAAGGACAGTAAAATACTCCCCAGAAACTCCCAAGTTGAATCTTTGATCTGATGGTATCTCGTTCCCTACTCCTCACCAGGAGATAGCCCTGGACTCTCTTTGAAACTCAGGCTTAGCAACCCTGTATAGTGACTGCTCAATCTCACTCACCTTACAGGTGTGCTGTGAGGAGTCAGTGACTCTGGGAAAGTGCTCTGTCAACTCTAAAGCACTGTACAAACATAAACTAGACATGACTTGGGTTTAGTTTTCCCTGGTTGCAATAATTGCCTGCTAGGCTAAATTATAACAGAAGAGGGCTTTAGAAAAACACTTCCAAATTCAAGATTAATAAGAAAAAGTAAAAGTTGTGTGTTTTTTTAAATGACTTGTTTTAAGTTCTTGTTTTAAAGTACTTTTCTCCCCATGGCTGAATTTAAGTGCACCTGGAAAAAAAATGATAATTAACCTTTGGTAAATATTTTCCCTCTAATTGTTTTCTCATGTGTCATTTTTCATAGTCTAATTATGAAACCATATCACTGCTCACTTGCCATCTGTCAACCAGTTATCTAGAACATTAAACTGAGAGAACATTGATCAGGTGAGCATGAAGTTAAATCTGTATATAATTATTTGAGTAAAATCCTCCTAGCCTAGATGGCCAGTTTCAGTGTCTTGAAACGTCAGAGCATCCTGGTAATGATAGGGTGTTTACAAAGGGCAATCTTGCCATAAGGTAAGGCAATATTAAATGAAAATGTCTTACTTGTAAAAACCTCCAGAAAGCATTAGTCTTAGCAAGTGGTGTGTGACTAATCTGCTAACAGATCTAGTTAAAGATAATGCACCTTGCTCTCAACCCTAGCTCCCAGAGCTTGGTTCTAAATTATTCCCCACTAAAAGGATCCTGAGCTTTGGAGGAATATGGCTTTTTCCAGGCCTGGGGCAGGAAGAGAATGAGGTGATGCTGGTACATCTTGTGCCAGAAAAATAAGGAAGTGCTTAAGAATAGAAAAGGAAATCTCAAAAAGACAGGAGTAGCTGAAAGGAGTCCCATTGGCCAAATTTGAGATAATTTGAGCATCAAAGGAATAATGAAACAATGACAACAATGTCATTAAAAACACACACACACATAATAAAGTAGATGGAATGCTCTAATTAGAAATTTGCCATTTGGCCCTGGCTAGGTAGCTCAGTTGGTGCCGTGGTCGGCAAACTGCGGCTCTTTGGCCCCTTGAGTGTGGTTCTTCCTAAGCCTTAGGAGTACCCTAATTAAGTTAATAACAATGTGCCTACCTATATAGTTTAAGTTTAAAAAATTTGGCTCTCAAAAGAAATTTCAATCGTTGTACTGTTGATATTTGGCCCTGTTGACTAATGAGTTTGCCGACCACTGGGTTAGAGCATTGTCCCAATATGCCAAAGATGTGGGTTCAATCTCAGGTCAGGGCATGTACAAGAATCAACCAACAAATGTATAAATACGTGGAACAATAAATCAATGTTTCTCTCTTCTCTTCCTCTCTCTCTAAAAATCAATAAATAAAAATAAAAACAAAAACAAACAAACAAGATAAATTCACCATTTTGCAAAAAAATCAATAAATAAAAATAAAAACAAAAACAAACAAGATAAATTCACCATTTTGCAATTTACAAAGTATAATTCAGACAAGATTCATGAATCAGTATTAAGACCATTGGATGAAATGCTATTGGGGAATAGGATATTTATATGGTCTCAAAGTATCACCATCAGATTACTTTTTAATTACAAATGGAAGATACCTTTCAATGAAGAGATCTGGCAAATGCCACCTTAACCAAGAAATCTGGTGACGACTACTTCAACTAATGTCTTTAGTAATGAAACAAGCTGACGTCATATACTTTCTGATGTGATACGCATCGTCTATGTACTATTATGTCCAGAAATGGTTAACTGAATCTAATAAAGAAACAATCAGAAATCCATGAGACATTCTATAAGCAACTGGCCTGGACTCTTCAAAAAAGTCAATACTGTGAGGTTGGGGGAATTGCTCTGAATTAAAAGAGGCTAAAGATACATGAAAGCCAATGTGTTATCCTTGTTTGTGATGATCAATTTTTTAAAAAATCTATAAAGGACATTTTTGGAACATTTAGGAAAATTTGAATATGGATTGTACATTAAATGATATTGAATCAATACTAAAATACATAATATTATAATGGGAGAGAAAGTAAATGTGGCCACATGTTAACAATCGATTTGTCTTGATGAGGGGAATATGTGTGTTTATTGTACTAGTTTGAAATTTCGCAAAACAAAACGTTGGAGGAGGAAAGAATGCTAAGAGGTGGGGTGAGTGGGTATAAGGCGGGGATATGTGGGGGTAGGCATAGTAATATATTTATTTTCATTTGGGGATATAAAGCTTTTTAAAATTAAAGTACAGTTGACACAATATTATGTTGGTTTCAGGTATACAACATAGTGATTTGACATTTACATACCTTACGAAGTGATCACCACGAAAAGTCTAGTAACCATTTGTCACCATACAAAGTTATTGTGACATTGTTGACTGTATTCCCTATGCTGCACATTGTAGCCTCGTGACTTATTTATAACTAAGTTTGTACCTCTTAATCCCCTTCACCTTTTTGCCCATCCCTTCATCTCCCAACCCTCTGGCAACTATCAGTTTGTACTCTCTATGAGTCTGTTTGGTTTTTGTTTGTTCATTTGTTTAGTCTTTTAGATTCCACATATGAATGAAATGATACAGTATTTGTCTTTCTCTGATTTACTTCATCTAGCATAATGCCCTCTAGGTCCATTTGTTTTGTCACAAATGGCACAATAATATTCTTAAAGTGATACTTACATTTTGTCAGTCTTCCTATACTATAGGACCTATAGAGACATGTAGTTTTTGCCAGCACAGCATCTATTCATACATCCTCTGGCTGAAATGTCAGAAAGCATCCTAATTTTTCTTGGCAAACGATTCAACTTCACTCTTAGTTCAAATTCAAAGGGAGCTAACTTCTTGCTGGGCTGCAGGTGTGAGCATGAAACCCAGACCTAGTTGATTGCAGAATTACTTTCCCCTGACCTGAGTGATCAGCTCTTGAGACTAGGAATAGGGTCTTTAGAATGGGGCAGACATTCACATCACCAACCAATGTGAAACAGATGGAGGTCTTCAGATAGGGCCGGAGGAAATTGCAGGTTGGGTCATGTACAGGCAGGAACTCCTGTCTCTTTTGGATCTCTCTTTGCTAGGCCTGGAATTTTGAAAAATATAAACCCACTTGAAGTGGCAGGGAAGAGATGGCTGTCTGACTATGCTGTGTGGAGGAGGAGATAGGAACTGGGTAAGTAGGTGGCTCTGTAGGGTACACGAGCTGAAGGTGAGTCACTGTGTCTGTGTGGCTCTATGTATGTTTCTCCTTTTATCACTTCTGGGCTTTTACTAAAGTCTTGTTTAAATGTTGACAGGGTTTGAGATTCATAACCTGTGAACACTGCCTACTTATGGTTTGAGCCCTTTTGTCTGGTCCCATTTTTGTACATCTTGTTGTCTTTTCATATGCTTCTAAAATACAGGCAATAGTGTGGTACTGTGAGGTCTTACAGTGGTCAGGAGACAGATCTGGGGAACCTGGACAAATTATGTAACTTCCCTAAACTTCAGTTTCCTTGCCTATAAAATGAGGGGTTTAAGATTAGCTAAAGACAACTTTCATACATCTAGGTAAATGCTTGGCACGTAATAAGGGCTTAAAAATAGTTGTTATTATTATTTTGGAAAAAGCACTCTGCCTCTGGGAGCTTGAGGGTGGCCTGTTACAGTTGTGCCACTATTTGTGTTACCTTGGGCAAGTCACTTAGGTATCAATGATTAATTGATAATCTCACTTTCCTCATTCATAAAATGAAGGATTTGGAACAGGGGGTCCCTAAGGTCTCACCTGGCTCTAAAAGTTGACCTTGCCCTAGCGGTTTGGCTCAGTGGATAGAGCGTTGGCCTGCGGACCAAAGGGTCCCGGGTTTGATTTCAGTCAAGGGCATTTACCTGGATTGCAGGCTCCTCCCTGGCCAGGGCCCTCGTCAGGGCTCATGCAGGAAGCAACCAATCTATGTGTTTCTCTCACATTGATGTTTCTCTCTCTCTTCCACTCTCTCTGAAAGATCAATGGAAAAATATCTTCGGGTGAGGATTAACAACAATAAAAGTTGACCTTTTTCATTCACTACGTATTGAGCCTGAGCTTCTCTAGTAAGGCATAAATACAGCAGGCAGCAAAGCCTCAAACATCTCCACCCTCATGCGGAGAAAGTTTGCATTCTAGTGGGGAAGACGGGTGATAAATAAGAAGAATGTGTGAAGTAATTACCAGGGGCTGGGAGGTGGGGGAAGTGGGAAGATATTTGTCAAAGGGTATAACTTCCAGTTATAAGATTAACAAGTACAGCATGGTGACTATAGTTCATAATACTGTGTTATATTCTTGAAAGTTGCTAAGAGAGTATGATTTTTAAAAAATGTTTTTATTGATTTTTAGAGAGAGAGGAAGGGAGAGGGATAGAGAAATAGAAACAATGAGAGAGAAACATCATCGATCAGCCCCATACTGGGAATCGAGCCCACAACCCAGGCATGTGCCCTGAGCAGGAATTGAACCAGTGACCTCTTGGTTTATGGGTTGATGCTGAGCCATTGAGCCACACCTGCCTGGCAGGGAGTATATCTTAAGCGCTCTTACCATGAAAAGAAGTGGGAATTGTGTGACGGTGTGGAGGTGGTAGCTAACGCCTTGGTGGTAATCATTTTGTGATATATAAATGTATCAAATCAACAAAAGCTGTATATCTTACACTTACACAATGCTGTTATATCGCTTATATTTCAGTAAATATAACCTGAAGGAGAAGGAGAAAATGTGTAAAGTCCATAATATGTTAGGGAGTGATGAATGCTACATGAAAAAAACAAAGAGGAAAGGGGTGAGAGGTGATAGTAATGGGGCTATGACTTTTGGGAGTGGAAGGAAGCCTTTTTGAGAACGTGACATTTGAGTAAATATTTGAAGAAGGTGAGGAATGGGACGTGTGGGGAGGCCCCTCTGGGATATAGAGACCTCATAAGGCAAATTATCTAAATCTATCAAATAACAGGAATGACTTAAATAAAATGCCACTGAGTAATTTGCTTTTGGCAAAACAAAAACCTATAAAATGTTTTCCCTATAACTTTGACACTGCTCACAAGTGCCTCTCACAAAAAGAACTCAGTTATTTCTAGACTTGAGGGCAGCCTCTCCGACTCCTTCACCAAGTTCCCCATTGTAAGTCCCGGCACACGCAAGGCTCTCGGGAAGCCTTCGTTCTTCTCTTCCTCATCCTTCCTCTACCCCCAAGTTCCCTTCAGAACCTCCCAGTAATCGTGGCATTTGATATGGTCTGACGGCTCTCTCTTAGCTGCCACTGAGTAAGTGAAATAAAATATTGTACACTATTGTCCCGCCTTACAGTTAAGTAGCCACTTACCTTGAGGACAGACTCAGTGACACCCCAGGAGAAGTCGCAGGGAAACTCACCCCGCACATCGGAGGTGGACTCTTTTAGAGGGAAACCATTTTCTCGTATGATCTGTTTATAGTAATGTGCTGAGGACTTGGGCTTTCTTTCCTTTTGTTTACTATTAAAATCCACATAAAATAATCCTCGGCGCGTGGTGTAGCCATCCTGCCATTCAAAGCCATCCAGGAGAGACCAGGCAGTGTAACCAAACACGCGTATTTCATCAAACCTTATTGCTGCACAGAGAGAGAGAGAGAGAGAGAGAGAGAAAAATCAGAGATGTTTGGAGGCCTAAACACACTCGTTCATGTTTATGGCTTCACTAACACGAGGCCAAGGGGACAGTGTGTTGTGAAACCAACCTTTTGCCCAATTTGTAGGCCCATTAGATCAAATAGAAAATTCATGTTTATCCTTGAAAAGCAGCACTTATTTTTTTTTCCACCCAGGATGGTCCTCCCCCAGCAAGTGAACCACACAGTCGAAGCATCCAACTGGCATCCAACTGAACATTTTCCTGAGACTCAGTGTGCAGGTCTGTGTCAGAGGGCATGGTGATTCCCAGAACTCCTTGGGACAAATGTCTGCTTAGGACCAAGAGGGTCTCATTTCAAGCTTGGGTTAGTTCCCATTTGTGGACAAACTATCTTCTATGAAACGATCCTTCAGGGACTGAAAAACTAGCTTTGAGAATGAACATACGTGGATGTAAATATAAGGAGGGGAAAGTCGTGCAGTGATGTAAGAGAACAAGCACTCACTGGGCCGAGGGGCAGGGGAAGGGAGGGTACTATTGGGCAAGTTTCTTGACTTTAGTTTTCTCATTTGTAAACAGAAAAGATTGGAAAAGATGATCTCTCAGGGTCTTTCTAACTTTACAACGCTGATTCAACGACTTTTAGGAGTTGGGTAAACCTGAGATATGAAAATCAACAGACAGCAGCAATAAAAGCAACAAAGACTCAAAACCAATCAGGAAACTTTTTTTTTTTTACTAAAAGCTTTCATTTCTCTCAGAGGAATGCCTCACTTCTGCACTTTTGATTTTTGCTGTTGTTGTTAATCCTCACCCGAGCATATTTTTCCATTGATTTTTAGAGAGAGTGGATGGGAGGGGGAGAGACAGAGAGAGTGAGAAACATCAACGTGTCTCACATCAATTGGTTGTCACCCAGGGCCAGGGATCGAGCCTGCAACCGAGGTACGTGCCCTTGACTGGAATCGAACCCAGGACCCTTTAATCTGTGGGCTGATGCTCTATCCACTGAGCCAAACTGGCTAGGGTGCATTTTCTGGGTTTTATCATTGACACCCTTTTCCTAAAAGGTAGAAAATCCTGACCAAGAGATTTCTTTGAGATCACTGATGTTTGAAATAAATACATTTTAACAGGCCCTGGTTCTAACCCCGTTGGTATAGGGCACTGAGGAGAGGTGGAATAGTAGCGCCTGGGAAATGACACCCTTCTGCCCACGGGCATGGCGTCAGGCACAGGCCCTCTGCTCCAGAGGCCCCTATACACGTGCTTGTGGCTGGGCACGACTCTGCTCCATGCTGCTCCTTCCTGCAGGGTGGGCAGCAGGCCTTTGCTGTTCCTGAGGACCCTCCCTGAGCACTCTCTTTGGCAGAATCTGGGATTTCTCTCCAGACATGTGGCTTTTAAAGAGAGCTACAGAATTTTAGAAGGATCTACCGAGGATTCCTTTATATTTGCGCGAAATGGAGCCCAGCTCTGACAGAGCCATCATGATTTGAGTTTGTGTTCTGCTCCATTATTTCAATCGGCCACCTGTAGATGTCACTACTTGAGTAATGGAAAAGGAATGAGGGGCTAAGAAAGGGTCAGAGAAATACTCAGGATCAATAGAAATGACTCAGCTTTGAGATTCGTGGCTCATTCTTTGTCTCCGGACTTTTTCATCATTTGGACATGTAATAGAGTGAAAGCACAATTCCAAGAAAGCCGTCAGCATCTTAGAGTAAAGCTCTACTGTTAAAAAAAAACTTTGGACATATCTTTCTCAGCATTATGTCCTTTTTGATAGACTGAAACAGCATCTTGTTGCCAATTAATTATGTATCTATAGTCTAAAATTATTTTGTTCTCAAGCTTTCACTAAAAAAGAACATGAGATAACATTAAAAAATTTTGTTGCCCAGCCAGCATGTCTCAGTGGTTGAGCATCAACCTATGAACCAGGAGGTCATGGTTTGATTCCCTGTCAGGGCACATGCCTGGGTTGCGGGCTCAATCCCCAGTAGGGGGTGTGCAGGGGGCAGCCGATCAATGATTCTCATCATTGATGTTTCTATCTCTCTCTCCCTTTCCCCTTCTCTCTGAAATCAATAAAAAATCTTGTAAAATAATTCTTTCAACACTGGACAATAAAAAAGCTGCGATAACAATAATATAGTCAAAGGCAACTTTAAATATATAGCATAAATATTCAAAAAAAATTTTAATTGAGCTAATGCGCAACCAACCTTGAAGAACCTGGTTGAGGAAATTCTTCATCATGTAGATGGCTGTGGTATCTTCTGTTTTCACATGACTGTCCGTGAACCAGCCATTCTCAGTAATCAAGATCCGGGGGTGGCCATATTCCAGCTTAATCCAGTTCAGCACTTCTCTCAAATGGAGTGACACATTTTGTCCCATTTTAGCCATGGTGCTCTGCGGCTTGAAATTGTTGGGCCCAAAGGAAAAGGCAAAGAAGTCAGCTGTGCCCCTCACCTCCTTCTTCTCCGCTTCTGAGAAAAGGGGCAGAATGGAGAGCAGCTGCTTTTTCATCAGCTCTGGGTAGTCCCCGTCCCCGTGGACAGGGTTGGCAAACCACCCGAGCACAGAAACCATGGACTGTTGGCACTTGAGTACATCCATCGTGTTTTCTGGTCTGTTTGGTTCAATCCAATGGGATCCCAGTGTGATCGATAACCAGCCCTTCTGATGTGGGCGGAAATTTATGTTGTAGTTGTGCCAAACTTTCGAGTGAGCCTAAGAAGAAGAAAATACGATTAACTTATATTGTTCTTACAAGGGTTTGACTTGGTTGGTAGAAGGTCTTTCATGGATAAATGAATGAAGCACAGGGTGATGCAGAGGAAAGCTGCCAGGAAACCCTGATGGCCTCAAAGGCGGTGCTCTGCCCACCTCCCCTTGCTTGCAACCCACGCCTCTCCTGGAGGATTGCTGAGAGGCAGCCAGAGAACCCTCGTCCAAACTCCATCTTTCTTCTTTTCTCCCTGACCCCCTTCCTGGCCCTCCTGGGACTGGTGCAGGTGAGATACTATGTGGATTAGAGGATTTCTTCCTTTAGATAAAAAGACGCAGAGCAGTGAGCTTTCATTGTCCCACAGAATCTCCTTCTGGCCCTGACTTAGAAGTCCAGGATAATGTGGGATCTAGATTCTGTAAATGAATAATAATAGAGCCACCTCCTAGGCTTGTTGTGAGGCTTGAATGAATTAATGTGTGTACAGGGCCTCAGAACAGTGCCCGGCACAGAGTAACTTCTATAGAAGCCTTAGCTGTGATTACTATCATTATAAAAGTGTGGCAGGCGCCGCATAAAGCAGAAAACCAGGGGACGGTGTGTGGGTCTTGAGGTCAGCACACTGGGGCTTGAAGTTCAGGTGTTTAATGTGTGGCCGTAGAGAAGTCACTTAACCTATCTGAAATCTGTTACTATCCTCATCTGTAAAATGAAGTTAGAAATAACAGTAATACCCTTTGTAAAGTTGTTGTTAGATGTAGAAATAATGTATGAATTAAATCTGTAGCACAGAATTAAATATGTAGCACTTAGGAGCTACTGCCTAAAGATGAATGTTATTGCCTTGGCTGGGTAGCTCAGTTGGTTAGAGCATCGTCCGATACGGCAAGATTGCAGGTTCAATCCTCGGTAAGGGCACATACAAGAATCAACTAGTGAATGCATAAGTGGAACTGCAAATTGATGTTCCTCTCTCTCTCTTAAAAAAAAGAAGAAAGGATGGATGTTATTATTATTAGTCTCCTGGAGTTTACATTTCCAGTTGAGCTCTTATGACAGAGCCTCATGATCGGTTTCCAGTCTATTTAATAGGTACGAGTGTCACTCAATGCCTGTCTTGCCTGCCCTGAGAGGCTGAAATAAATGGAACAGGAACTCTCCCTCAGGAGCCAATCATCTTATTGAAAAAATAAGACTGAAAGGTGTGAAAGAGAAACATAAAATGGCATAAAGTAAGGCCTTAAATGAAAAAATATTTAAAGCAAAAAGGCAGGTTCATTGAAGAGCCATGAGCTCTATTAGAAGGAGGAGCAAACATTAAGGACTCCAGTTAAGGACCCCTGACCAGTCATAAAATTACCCTTTACCTGTGACATCTCTTTTCCCTCAGCATTTGACTTGCTTGCCTCTTCCCAGGCGTCCCAATTTCTCCTCTATTTGGCTGTTTCTAAAACCAGTGTGCACACCCTTCCCTTTAACCCACAAAGTCTGCTTTTCTTTGTTCCTTGGCTTTCCTTTTGCTCATCAGAGACGTTGTGTATTGGGTTGAATTATCTGAAAGGGCCTCTGTAAGTCAAGGACAATCAAATGTGCCCAGTGGTTCAAACCTAATAGACCCTGCGGACAGCAATTGTGCTTCAGAAATCCTGTTAGGGTGGGGAAAGGTAGGCGAGGATTTCAAAGTTGGTGCCTTATTGCTTGATGGAAGGAGTTCATTGAAATCATTCCCGGGGAAGATTTTCTTAAGCAGATGTCTCGAGGTATTACCTCTGTCTATCCGATCTTACTTGGTTTTCACTGCAACCATTTAGCACCCAAATGTCCCCAAGGATCTGTAAGAATGCTCTCCCATCAGAGAAGTGTACAGGCTGCTGCCTCCTCCCCTGCCTCCAGCCTGAGGTTCCAGCTTCTGGAAGGAACCACATGGGGACCGGGGACAGACACCACCTTAAGTGGTCTCAGCTGCTCTGTCTGGGCTGAAAAGCCTGGAATCCCAAAGTCTTGAGAACTGCATTTTTTTCTGATTTGAAACAAAAGCAGTCATGCATTGCTAGAATTCTTTGCTTGCTTCTAATCAGTCACGTCATGCCTTGATACTTGACCAGGGCAGTCATGCAGCTCTGATGTGTAAACTATAAAGCTCAGCACCCATGTAAGATCCTGAGCCAGAAACTCGCTGCCATGCAAATATGATGCCATCAGACACTGAAGGGAGAGTGAGATGGAGTCAGTAAGAAATTTATTAAATCAGCAATGAACCAGTCCTAATAGGAAAAAGAAAGGGAGGGAGGCGTTTCTTTAAAATAGGTGTTTTATTGCATATTTTAGTGATTGTATGAAAGATAACCTAAGCTGTGATAAAATCTTGGTGGCATCAGCATTTTAATGAGAAACAGAGCAGCTTAGAAGACAACGGATATGTACCTTTGCAACATCTTTCCAAACAAGTTTTCTGGATATATATGTCTATATACTCGTTTCGTCATGCCCCAAGGTGACCTTCGTGTTCCACAGTGTCTCTTTCACCTTTGCTGCTATTTGCATAGGCTATCAAGGTATCTAGGGTTATCTTTGCTCTGGGCTGGAGGCAGCCTCTCCATTCTTGTGTAGAGAATGTGGGGGAGGTTCTTTGGACAGTGCTTATAGTTATGACTTGATCCTATTTGCCAAGTAACAAGGTAAAAAGTATTGCTCAGAGGTAGTGAGTTTGACATAAATCTTGATGAAACAGAGATATCTACATGTGTGCGCTGCTCTGATGCTCACAAAGGAGGGCTGCTGGGAAGACTAAAATAGGGCTAGGAGGGGCGTGCAGCCTGGGCCCTGCCACCTTGCACAACAGTCTTTCTGAGCTTTTCCAAGGTTACCCTCTATCTGTACAAGGCCATCTACCTTTGGAATGATTGATTTAAGGGAGCTTCAACCTTTGTTCTTTAAATTCAGTAGCTTAAAGGGGAAGTCAGCAGCTTTTTTTTCTGTTGTTGTTTGGGGTCAGCTATCAGGGCCTCATATCATTGAGAGGCAGCTGCTGGCCTAGCGTGGCAGTTCTCTTTGATGCCCCTGGAAATGCAGACTCAGATCAGTTCTGTGGGTGATAGGAAGCAAATAAGACACAATTCTAGAAGCCCAGATGAAGAAGGGGCTGGAGGCCGGGAGACATGGCGGGACACTGGTGGGAGGGAGTGCTGTGGGGGGCGTGGGTTGAAGACAGATGAGCACACCTAGCACATTACACGTGTCTGTAACTAAGTTACCTCCAATCAGTTGTCCAAGTTAAATTTCCAATTCGGTGCCTAATTTTAGTCACATTTTGGCTGAAATATCTTCATGTGGATTTGTTTATTTGTTAAGGCTATTTAACAAAGTATTAAGCAAAAACTATTAAAGAAAGATTACTTTAAACTCCACAATCACAGCAAACTGTTTTCCTATTTCAGGGTTCCCTGCCAGCTTTTCCCAGTATATTTCCCAGCTAAAATGACTGAACGTATTGCATGTTGTTTTTAGTCTTCATAACTATCTTAACAGTATAATAATTCACCAATTTTATGAAATACGATTTACTTAGTCATCTCTTTCTTTTGATAGAAATTAGCTTTTCCTCCCTTCCTTCCTCCCTTCCTCCCTACCTCCCTCCCTCCTTCCCTACCTCCCTCCCTCCCTTCTTTCCTTCCTTCCTTCCTTTCTTCCCTTTTCTATCATAAATAATGTTGTAATAACTAATGGTGGGCATATAGCTTTTAATTTGTTTGAATTATTTCCTTTTGTTAATCTCAGAATGACTACCTAACAATTTTTAAAGTTGTTTTATATATCTCCAAATGGTGTTTTGGCCAGTTTGTCTTTTGGTGTGAGTATTCTTTGACCACCTGCTTCGAAATATTGATTGCTCTTTTTTAGGGATAAATGGCCATGAAGAATGATATAAAGATGCATCTCACCTACATGGCACTCTAGGCGACAGGGCCTGGGTCTTGAAAGCAGGACACCCAGCCTCCAGTACTGGCACGGTGGCGACTAATGAGCTTTATGATCTTGGATAATGCATTTCCCATTCAGCAGTCTCAGTTCCCTTCTCCATTATACTGAGCTAAAAATAAACACTAGAGAATTGTGGTGAAGAAGGAATGAGGTAATATATGTGAAGATCCTGTGCAAACTACACAAATGTAAATTTGAAGTATTTTGAAAGAGCAAGCTGAAAATTAACTTGCTGTGGAAAACAACAGTGGGAGTCTGTGTGGGATGAAGAGTGTTAATAGAAATTATTCCTTCTTCCTTCCCTCCTCCGTCCCTTCCTTCCTTCCCCTTTTCCTGTCATAATTAATGTTGTAATAACTCTCCTTTACCCCTTGATTTTCATGGCTAACCTGTTTGTCCTTATTTTTTTATTTTTGAAGTTGACCGAGTTCTATTCATTGTCCATTGGGACTGAAATTAATCTCAGGTTGATTCATTTTTTTTCATCTATTCAGCACTTCTTTATGTTTGTTTTCTACTGATTACAATTGCTGTTCCAGATTTTTTTAATTTTCAGTGATTCATTCTGCATTCTACAAATATTTATTAGGTGTTTAAGGTGTGTGAACTTTACAGAAGTTCATTGCTAAAAAATTATGACTATTATCTCCTTAAATATATCACCGTCATTTCTTTAATTTTTTTGACAATCTTGAAACTCTCTTAGAAATATCTTACCCTCATTATTCTTAGGAGAGAATATTTAAATATTAAAAAAAGTTACCACCTTTCATAAGGAAAATATTTACCCATCCTATTCATGTTTTCTATAGTTGAAATAACTCAGAAATAATCATATTAAAATTAATTTTAATGAATTTTCATTTTAATAAAATTCATTTTAATTAATTTTCCTCCCATTTTCTTTGTAATCATTATATTTGCAAAGTATTTTAACAAGTCATTGGTTGTTCTCAGTTTGTATAGTTCCAGGATTTCCCCCATAGGAATCATGTAAAAACTAAGCTCTAATATATTTGTT